ATATATACATATATATACATCGTTTCGGCTATTATTTTGAGAGGGCTATACAATATCATTTTCCCTATTTATTCTCCTCTAAAAATTCTAATGGGGCTTCTTTAATTAACATTATCAAACCATAACAGAATTATTAGTGGAAAGTAGAGAGAATTATCCGTGGGATAGCAAAAATCAGGAGATATTTTTTGCTCCCCTAACACTATTTCGAGTTGATTTAAAATACTTGAACATGTATTTCTATAAGTAATTCATTCTTTTGATTAATTAATTAGTTTTCAATATATCGAAATTTTCAGTATAGATCTAGAGACTGCTTGTAATTTACTATATCGTACAAAAGAAATAAAAGATAAAGCACCTGAGATTTTATAGAGTTGAAAAGAGAAATAGTAGAAAAGTTTATTTTAAACATTCTTGTGTATGATATTGCCACATTTCTTAGATATTTCTGTCAACATTAAACTTTTACTATTTTCTTTTCATTTCTTGAAAAAGTTTATTAGTTGTATATTTTATACTTCCATCCCTTAAAAAGTTGTTGCATTTATTATTTCAATTAGGGAAAACTAATTTTTTTTGGGTATGGGAACAACATATTCACGTCTGCTTCTGTGTTTACAGAGATATTAATTTTTGTGTTTTTATGTTCGTATGTTACGTGTTATTTTAAATTATTGATATGGTGTGTAAACACCAGATTGGGGAAAAATTAAGATTATAGTTTTATTGTTAAACTTTAATTTGTCCTCATGATCCAATTAAACAATCTTAACATTCAATAAATATAAATTGTGCTTTGTTGGTCACTTTACTAATTAAACAATCAATTTTAACTGATGTTAACTTAAAAAAGAGGCTAAAGTATAACTCTTAATAGAACAATTAAAGGATGAGTAATCGATCATATGCCTTAACAATTTCATGAATTTACATACGTTTGTTGGAAATGTTTGTAACCAAAATTAGGTTCATGTTTGACCTTATCAAAACATGCTTTTCTATTCTTTGACTACCTACTCCCAATAAGTGTGTAATTATAGAGCAATGAATTACATGCACGATCATCACAAGGACAACAAGAAACTACAGACTTCATAGTTACACAAAGTGCAATCATGGTCAATTGAACCCAACTCTTTGGCTTATATTCTGTGGTGTGTTTACGTGAAAAATTCAAAAAAGTATTCCAATTAATATTAAGTTCGGAACCCATAATTTTAATAAATTCATTAAAATTAAATTCTGAATCTGCTTTTGAGTACATTATGTATGTAATATTTTTATTTGGATTGTTTGTTATGCACAGTAGGTTCAAACTTTCTTGTAGGGGTGTTCCTTCTCAATCGGAAGAATTTTGGCAATTGTTAGTTTGGAAATCCATTTGAATTCAAAGTCTAACCTTAGTTTCTTTTTTTTGTGAAAATAGCATGGGCTAGCCATGTTGGAATGGTAATCGAAAAATAGTCAGTGTTTGCAAAGTCATTGAAAAATAATCACTATTTTATGCGGATATAAAATCGGGACAAAAATACCCTAACTGAAACACGAAAAGTTCCAACATAATATGTTTGATTATGGAGCTCTTGCGTATAAACTTCCAGCACATCATAATGGAATCTCATATGTAAAAATTCGAATTCCCAGCATATTATACTGGACTTTTTCCAAAATTTTAAGGATGTTCTTGTTCAAATTTCATCTTTACATGAAAAAGTAGTTAAATTTCGATTACTTTTGAAACTGTGACTATTTTTCAATTACCGGTTGTAAATCAGGGTAATTTGATTTTTTCAAATCAGTAAAGTCTAATTCTACTGATTCCCTTTGATTTCCTGAAGAATGTCATGAGCAGAATTCCTATTATGTTGCTGAATCTGTGCTACTAAAAGCAGGTTAAAATGCAGCAAGTCCATGTCAGAACCAATTAGTTACTCTTTTGCATAAAATTTACCAGTAATTGATTCAACGGCGAAGGTAGTACAACACGAGATGTGCGATTAGTACATGTCAAAGAATTGGGATCATGACCGGCTAGAAGTTCAGGTCATGATCCCAAACAAAAAAAAAACAGAAAAGCTTATAAATTCTATACCATTTATAGAGATCTCTGTTCTGCCGATGTGCAAAACCTGCATATATATTTGCTAAGCGAAGTTACTTGTTTCATGCCACAACAATACTCCATATCATTAAATCCAACCTACTAAATCACCAATTGACACTTAAGCAATTGCTTAAGCTTTTCAAATACACTAGGAGCAGAAAACCAAAGTTGTCAGCCATATAAAAGGAGAATACTAATAATTAGCTTATTACGTAAGAAACATCCTATACAACTCACTATCACATAAATACAGAACATCAAGAACTAAGTACCATTTCCAGTATTTAAAACATTAAATTAGTGATATATGCTTACAATACGACATCCAAATACTTCCAGATAAAAATGGCGTTATTTTTCACCAACATAAGATTACTTCATACCAAGAATTAGTTAAGCACTTGGGGCATCGCCAACAAGCTTGAATTCTTGAACTTCCTTGAAGTTTTCCCATGGCTTAACCCATATCTTGGCTTCATATACTTTCTTCTTTCCGCCCTCAATTGCCTCGAGTGTTATATAGTATATGGTTCCAGCAACTACCTGTTGTTTCACATTCACAACCTTTCCAAACTCCAAAAGAGCATTCTGAAATAGAGTATATATTGTTCAAAAGAAAGGTTATAAGTCATTGATCTGTACTGCCACAAACTTCTAGCTTCAGCTTATACTATTCGCTTAGTCTAACAAATATAGTTGTGCCAAACAGTCGATCAATTAATTCATCAAAAGTTTTTGAGATGGCCTACATAATCATATACTAGTAGTTAATAAATCTTGTGATGTAATACCAGAGCATATGCAACAGTTAAAAAACAAAAGGAAGAGTGCGAAAAGAACACAATCAAACAACATAAAAACAAGGAACACAGCCAATTTCGAGTAGTTCAGGGGCAAAATTGGCCCTTTTCCAGCCAAGTTGGAGCAACCCGGGGGCAAGTGCACAGATAGCCATTATTAGGGATGTTATTTAGAGATTAACAATACTTATTTTGTCCTGAAATATTAAACTAAAATCTCAACTTCAGGGCAATTAAGGACATTTTTGTCCTGAAAAATTAAACTGAAAAACTAAAATTCAGGACGCACTGGTTAATTCCTAAATATCAGCCCTTTAGAGTGGCTATCTGGTGTCATGCAAGTGCACAAATAGCCATTCTTAGGGATGCAATTTAGATATTAGCCAATATTTATTTTGTCCTAAAATTTTAAACTAAAAGCCTTATCTTCAGGATAATTTAAGATATTTTTATCCTGAAAAATTGAACTGAGAAACTAAAATTCAGGATGCATTGACTAATTTCTAAATAACAGCCCTTTAGAGTGGCTACCTGATGTTATTTCTATGCAGTTCATGGGAAGGGCAATTTTGAGCTACTTGGCTAATGGCTAGGGAATTTGGTGAGGGCATTTTTGTGCTAAAATTGAAACGGATGTCAAAGTTGTCCCATTTCAAATAGTTTAAGGGCAAAATTGGCCCTTTTACCTTAATCTAACAAGGCCAGCCAACATCAGAAGAAACATAGGATAATCTAATAACACAATCAAACAACACAAAAAGCAAGAACAAACTCAAATCCACAAACATGAAGTATAGGGAGACAAAAAGAAAAATCTCAATCGGCTAAGCAAGTTGACAATTCCGTCAAATCTCAAACTTTTATAATATTAAAGAGAGCAGTAACCTATTTCTAGTTATCAACAATACGATTCCAAACCGTGAAATCAGGGTAGGTTGCCTACATCATACCCCTTGGGTGCGGCCCTTCCTCAAATCCTACGTAATCGCGGGATACTTCGTGCACCGAACTGATCTTTTATAGCCAGATGAAAAAGGAGGGGGTGGGAGAGCGAGAAAAGTAATTAACCTGTTTTTTGTTATAATCTTGGATAGCAAAACGTGCAAGATCATCTATCTCAACGCTATTCTGGGATCCTCCAACCTCGCTAATGCCTCCTACAGCTGCCATGATTACTCTATCTGCAAATGGGCTGTAATGAGAAAACTGGTTTTTATTATTATAGAGAAGGGTTGAGAATGAGAAGTTAGTAAACAAAACGAAACAGTCAACGAATCTAGCACGTTATAACTATTTTGATCGATTTGGATTGGTCTTCTGACTTTTCAGTTCCGTTGTTAAATTTGCTTGCAAATAGTACCAAAAAGAAAAAGAAAAAATCTTTAATAGGGGAACTCAATATATACTTGCCTGTAATATTCAAATTTGAGTGGTTGTAGTAGACTTGTAGTACATTATTTCTGTGTGCGCAAGTCTAGATACATACGTTCTTTGCCCCATACCTCATTACCTCTCTTACTTCCTCAAAATATAGAGGGGAAAATACGTGGTGATAAGGGAAGATCTTTAAAGGCATTTGTTTTCTCATCTTTATAAGGGATTTAATCTTAGATATTCGGAATTTATTAGTCCGAATTCGCCTATGGGCCATTAAAAGGAACGCTTCCTACCCGGTATTTCTCTATTTTTACATATCAAATCCATGACTTTTAATTAAGGGGGTAGAGATTCTATTTCATTTCATCACACCCTTGAATATTATTTTCTAATGTTTGGATTGCAAAAACAGAAAAGAAGAGAATATACTCCCTTTGTCACAATGGATTATGAAGCTGCAAGTTCAAATGAACTATTTTTGTCAATCTCCTAATATTGGGGTACTAGTTGGTCCTACATTAATTTAGGACCAATTTAGCTCTATTTACTGACCATATAAATAGCCAAAAGCCAATTGGTGACGATTTTTGAAAGTAAGCATGTAATGATAACTAACAAAATGTGATAACTTCATTAGTAAACAACCTAATAGTACGCCGATGTGTATAAATTAAAAGCATATAAAAATCATTTAAGCTATATACATTATTGTGTAAAATGTTATAAATGAGATGAATGCATGTGAGCGAGAGGAATGCATTTGTCTGTCCATTTAACGTACTTTGTATTCATGTACTCAATTAAGAAGTACATTAACTTATAACCTTTGAATGTATTTGTACCTTTATAAATAGGAAACTTTTGACCCTATAAAAAATACACCAAGAAAAGAAATAACAAAATCATTCTCCCTCATATATATTTTGTCTCCATTAGTATATTGTTCTATTGTGCTCTAATTTCTTAACACGTTATCAGCACGAGGTTCTAACCAACTGAGGTTATCTGCTTCATCCGAATTTTATCTTCTTCCTAAAAGAGGTAGTCAGTTTCTTTTCCGATTCAAGTATTAATTCTTATGTTTATAGCGTTTCTATTAGGATCTTTTTTAACCTGCAATTTAATTACCATATGCATAACTTGTTTTGAATATGATTATAATAATTGCATTGGTATGAAATCAATAAGTTTCGGTTAAATTGTTATTTCATTATATAAACTACGAAGAAGTTTAATCCTACACATAAATAAATAAGTATTAAAATTGAATTACAATAATTAGATTAATTAAGCCCACATCCAAATGTTCTAACAGAATATGCATTTAGAAAGAATTCTTGCAAAATTTTCAAAAGGTTTAAATGTGTCTTCGATAAATTTATCACCTAAGTGTACAAACTAATTAATGACTTTAAAATTAACGACTGAACTATTAGATGAATCGTATTGAATGTTGAAACTTGTCAGAATTGATGTCATCTAGTTTTATGCCTACTTATCTTATTGAAACGTATTATAAGTAGAACAAAATTATACTAGTACATATTAATTCAACTTATTTATTCTATGAAAATATACTTACATGTCTAAAGTTTTTGTGGGTAATATTAAACACTAATTTATCATCGCACTACACATAATTGTTTGTTTGATAATTTTATATATAGAATATTAATACACGATTATGTACTGCACTGAATTAATAATAATTTTTGTCATTCTAATTCACTTATTTCTATGATAGTTTTCACTATGTCGAATTTATCAAAGCTTGAATTTATGGCACTTGACATCTCTAGGAATAACTATTTGCCATGGGTACTTGATGCTAAAATTCACGAAAAAAGCCATGATTTTACTTCGCCATCATCTCGATGAAGTGTTAAAAAATGAATATTTAACCTTGAAAGATCCATTTTAATTATGGACTAGTTTGAAGGAACGATATGACCACCTAAAGCCCACGGTATTGCCAAGAGCTCGTCGTGAGTGGATGCACTTACGGTTACAAGATTATAATGCCTCAAATATGTGGGGAACCTAAGAATGATGAGGGCATGCTAGAAAAGACTCTTTCCACTTTTCATGCCTCAAATATGGTGTTACAGCAGCAATACCGTGAAAAAGGCTTTAAAAAATATTCTGAGTTAATTTCATTCCTTTTGGTGGTTGAACAACATAATGCGCTTTTAATGAAAAATCATGAAGCACGCCCCACTGGATCAGCTCCATTTCCAGAAGCGAATCTGGGAACGATAGATCCAAAGTCTGAAAAAAGACAAAATAATTATCGTGGCCGTATAAATATACGTGGGCGTGGCAATGGGTGAAATAATAATCGATATGGTGGTGGTCGTTATAAACAAGAGAACAATAAAGGTTCTCAGAATAATCCTTCAAAAGGCAAAGGTAATGTTTTTCACCGATGTGGTATTAAAAATCATTGAACACGAATTTGTCGTACACCTGAACATTTTGTCAAACTTTATCAAGTATTTATAAAAGGAAAAAAAAATAAAGTTGAGAATCACTTGACTTTTCAAAATGATGTTGAGGCGGGCCCTATGAATAATCATGATAAAGTTGAAGCAAACCTTGCCTATAAAGATGATATTTTTGAAGGCCTTGCAGATATTACTCATTTAGAAGCTGGAGACTTCTTTGAGCATCATAACTGAAGACTTATTATTGGGAAAATTATAAGAATAAATGTATTTCTTTTTATGAAGTTCATATTTTGAATAAAACGTTTTATGTTGTCAATATTTAATTTCATAAATGTAGTTTCTTTTGTTCTTAAATTTTTCAATATTACTTATGATGTATTTTTTTTCTTCTTGAAGAATATGAAAACTTCCCAGTCTTCAGTTGTCCGTATGAATAATAAAGAAGAAATATGTCTTCTGGATAGTGCTACAACACACACCATATTAAAAGATAAGAGATATTTCTCTTATTTAATTATGAAATAAGCCAATATCATAACAATATATGGTAGTACAAAATTAATTGAGGGCTCTGGAAGAGCGACTGTATTATTACCAGGAGGAACTATATTGGATGTTAATGATGCATTATATTGTAGTAGGTCTTAAAAAAACTTGTTGAGTTTCAAAGATATTCGCCAAAATGGCTATCATATTGAGACCACCAATGAAAGAAAGGTTGAATACCTTTATATTACTACAATAAAAGTGAAAAAAAGTATGTGCTTGAAAAGCATCCCGCATTTTTCTCCGAATTATACTACAATAATATTAGTGCAGTTGAATCACATGCCATAGTAAACAATGAGTTTACTAATGATTTTATTATTTGGCATGACCGGTTGGGCCATCCCGGTTATAATATGATTCGCAAAATAATTGAGAATTCACATGGTCATTCATTGAAGAACCAGAAGATTCTTCAAACTAAAGAACTCTCTTGTGATGCATGTTCTCAAGAAAAACTGATTAGACCATCAGTAATTAAAGTTGGAGTTGAATCTCCTGCATTTTTGGAACGTATACAGGGTGATATATCTGGGCACATACACCCTCCATGTGGGCCATTCAATTATTATATGATTTTGATAGATGCATCTACAAGATGGTCACATGTGTGCTTGTTATCAACCCGCAATTTGGCCTTTGCGAGGTTACTACCTCAATTAATAAGATTAAGAGCACAGTTTTTGTCATTTTGATAAATCAGTATACCCAATATTAAGGGGAGAAAATAAGAAGCTGCAAAAGGAGATAGATTAGAATGCATTATCACTATCTCATTTAGATCCTCGAACAAATCAATGTGAACACGAGGTTCAAAAGATAATTTATTTATAAAATATTATAAATCAACTACCTGATACATTCACTAACCTATCAAGGGTGACTAAGTCACATATTCCAGCTGCTAATGCTCATATTCGAATTGATGTCCCGGTTGGACAATCTATAAACGCAAATGAGTCTAAGCCACGCTTGAAACGTGGTAGACCAATTGGTTCCAAAGATAAAAATCCTCGAAAGCGAAAAGGAGCAAATGATCCAAGAGATCATAATATGGAGGTAATTGCTCAAAAAGATCCCTGTGACATAACAAATGATAAGACCTCAGAGGAGGTCCAGGTACCTGAAAATAATAAAAATGAAGAGATCTCAATAAGTTATGTCTCTACGGCAAAAAGGTGGAACTGGAATAATATTATTGTCAACAATATTTTTGCTTATAATGTTGTTGTTGAAATAATACAACAAGATGAGGATCTTGAACCAAGATCCATCGATGAATATAGACAGGGAAATGATTGGCAAAAATGGAAAGACGCTATCCAGGCAGAATTAGCGTTACTTGGAAAATGTGAAGTATTCGAACGTATAGTCCGAACACCTAAAGGAATAAAGCCAGTGTGATACAAATGGATTTTTGTGCGAAGACGAAATGATAAAAATGAAGTCGTTAGATATAAAGCACGACTTGTGGCACAAGGATTTTTGCAAAGACCTGGCATTGATTATATGGAGACATATTCTCCTGTGGTGGATGCAATCACTTTCAGGTATCTTATAAATTTGGCAGTCCATGAAAAACTTGATATGCGTCTAATGGATGTTGTCACAGCCTATTTGTATGGCACATTAGACAACGAAATTTATATGAAAATCCCTGAAGGGCTCAAAGTTCCTGAAACTAATAAAAGTTTTCGGGAAACTTGTTTAATAAAGCTTCAAAAATTCTTATATGGATTGAAACAATCAGGGCGAATGTGGTATAATCGCCTGAGCGAGTATTTACTGAAAGAAGGGTATAAGAATGATCTAATTTGTCCTTGTGTATTTATAAGAAGGCATGGATCTGAATTTGTTATAATCGTTGTGTATGTTGATGATCTAAATATCATTGGAACTCATGGGGGACTTCCAAAAGTAGTAGACTGTTTGAAGAAAGAGTTTGAAATGAAAAATCTTGGAAAGACAAAATTTTGTCTTGGTCTACAAATTAAGTATATGAAAGATGGAATTTTTAGACCAAGACAAAATTTTGTCTTGGTCTACAAATTAAGTATATGAAAGATGGAATTTTTGTCCATCAATCAACTTATACCGAAAAGATCCTTAAGCGTTTTATATGGATAAAGCACATCCATTGAGTACCCCGATGGTTGTGAGATCACTTGATATAAATAAAGATCCATTTCGACCTCATGAAAATGATGGAGAGCTTCTTGGTGATGAAACTCTATATTTTAGTGCAATTAGGGCACTAATGTTTGTTGCAAATAATACTCGACTAGATATAACTTTTGCAGTAAGTTTATTAGCAAGATTTAGTTCCTTTCTAACAACAAGACACTGAATGGTATTAAGCATATTTTTAGATACCTCCGAGGGACTATTGATATGAGATTATTTTATTCTTATAAATCCGATTCACAGTTGATTGGTTATGCAGATGCAGGTTATTTGTCTGACCCACATAAAGCCTGATCTCAAACAAGCTATCTATTTACTTGTGGGGGTACAACTATTTCATGGCGTTCAACAAAACAAATTTTAGCTGCTACATCTTCCAATCATGTAGAGATAATAGCTATTCATGAAGATAGTCGAGAATGTGTATGATTGAGATCAATGACTCAACATATTCAATAATTGTGTAGTCTTTCTTTAAAAACAAAGATTCCAACGATATTGTATGAAGACAATGCTGCTTGCATATCTCAACTTAAAGAAGGATATATCAAAGGAGACAGAACAAAACACATTTCACCAAAAAGTTTTTTTTCACATACGATCTTCACCAAAATTGTGAGATAGATGTTCAACAAATCCGTTCAAGTGACAATCTAGCAAATTTATTCATTAAGGCATTGCCAACATAAATATTTGAGAAGTTTAGACATAAGATTGGAATGCGTCGTCTCCGAAATATCAAATAAATCTTTCATCAGGGGAGTATAATATCTTGTAATACACATTGAGTGCTGCCTCATTCATCGTGACTAGAGTGCCAAGAAATTGATCATAAATCTCGAAGCAATTGGTTGACAACGTTTGAAGGTGGAAACTTGGGTTAACATCTCCTCCATTATAAAGGTCACCGATTTTCACCTCAACAACGATGGCGGATTTCCAAGCAATTGGTCGGCTACGGTGCCAATATCTAATTTTGCTTCTGTACTATCTTGTCAGAACTTTTTTTAATTGTGTAACAATTTTAAAGAGAATGGAAGGTAGAATTGGTCGAGATGATGGAGTTTGTTTCAAAGTTTGATTGAAGAAGGTGGTTCTGTAGCATTTTGTTTGGTGAAATTGGTCAGGTGGGTACGAGTATGAATGTCAACGAATGAAGATGATGTTTTATTGGATGAAGAAACTGATTGAAAAATTGGATTTGGCAAGAGATGGAGGAAAGGAAATGGAAGTGGTCAAGTGGTGTTTGCCGTCGGTAGGTGGTGTTGAAAATTGGATGTGAGTGTTCCAGTTTATGGATGATGGAATAAGAAGTTGAGGCAGCGAAGATGGTGGAATAAGGTTGTTCGTACAATAAATTGTGAGGAAGGAGCGGTGGTTCTGTGCCGGTGTATTTTTCGATCGGTCAGAAAAATATAGGCTACAAAGAAGAGAGAAGAACAAAAAAAAAAGTCACATCCACGTGCTTAAGGCAAAGTGAAAGTCTATTCATATGTTCAATAGCTACCTACCTTAGTTAAGGCGTCAAAATAAAAATTGAAATCAACTTTAAGGAGCCGTATATATATTTAGCTAAGGGTGTTCAAAACCGAATCGAAACCGAAAATCGAATCGAAATCAAAACTTAATGGCTTATTGGTATCGGGTTAACGATTTAACGAACGGGGAACAGATTGAATCNTATATATATATATATTATTGAACTCGTTTACTATTACTCTCTAAACTTTAGAAGAAAGATTCAATTATTTATTATCAGCGTGAGAGGTTTCATACTAAACAATAGTAATACACGAATAAATAAAAAGGTAATATAAGCACGAACCAACAACTGCTTAATAATTTGAATGTTTTGCAGGATGGAAACCAACTTCTTGTTAGCATTGCTAGCAATGTTGACTACTATTATAGCTCAAAAGGAACTGATTGTCAACATCACCATAGTTCACAGTGCCACTGCACAATACATTAAGCAACAGAGAGTAAAGAGAATCACATACAGATTTCTATGAGTACTAAGTATTTATTTGTTTATGAGACATCAAACAGTGTGCATCGATGGAAGCCCGCCAGCATATCATCTTGATAGAGGACATGGTAGCGGACTTCGCAGCTGGATTATTGAATTGGTTAAGTTCAATCTTAACCAAGTTGTGTTTTTATTTTTTAACAGTCTGTCATCTTCTTAAACACTAAGAAATCTATTCAAATGATACTGTTGATATATTGTGTTGTGCACTTCTCAATCCCTTACCATCCACTTGAATGTAGTATGAGAAGATAAAAGAAGTATGTGATATCCTGTATTTGATTATATTAATATGGCCTCATGGTGTAATTTAGTTGATATATATGTATGAGAAATGTTGACTATATTGTTGTCTCGGAGATGTACTCCTCAACACTGTGTTGAAGTATGTTAAGTTTCAATCAACTGAAACTAAACCGATAACCGTTCGATAATAGCTAAACCGATACCAATCCGCCCGATATCTTATCGGGTGGCTCGCGAATTGATACATTTAAAAACCGATAACCGATAAGTCAAACCGTTAAGAGTAAATAACCGTCCAATCCGTCCGATAAGCAGCCCTATATTTGGCCTATATAGTCAGTATATTTTAACCCGTTATAGCAAGGGATGGTAAATGGTGCGGGACGGTGCAGTTGCGGGACAAACCCGCGAAGATTTTATACCAACTTAAAATGGATTTACGTTTTATACCATTTAATAATTTTTACACTTCTGCTCCTGGTTAATAAAAAGGGATTTCCGTGTCATGTTTCCTAAGGTGAAAACCTCCAACAAAGATAGTGATATCTGATAAAAAAAAACAGAATCACAAATTGGATAGCAAAATAGTCACATAGTGCCAGTGAAACAAAACATTTCCACTAATAATGGTGTTTGAGTAAATTCAGAAAAGAAGCGAAAGAAAAGAGTAGGCGGCATTAGTTTAGGTCTTTAGGCTTTAGTTTTAAAAACAATCTCTAACCCGCCCCGTCCCGCGTGATTTTTCTTTTTTAAAAACTGAACCCGCCCCGCATCCGTGAGCTCTATAACCCGCCGTGCCCCGCAAACTCCTATACCCACCCTGCACTCGCACCGCCCTATTGCCATCTAGACCTATTTGACCATAGATTTTGTCAAATTTTTGCCAATTGTTTTTGGCAAATACATGTTTGTTCATAAATTTTATCCATATTTTGGCAAATTTCCAAAATTCAAAACTCAAATCCAAAACCAGCTGGCCCAAAATATTACTATTACACATTTTAATTACATATTTTAAAAATTGCCCCAAACTTTTATATTTTATAAAAGAGTATACCATTTATTATTTCGTCTTCTCGGTCATCTGATAGTATATTATGTAGTTCATTATAAAAATGATAATTTTGTACCAAATTTATTTATGTTGAGGACTATGGTTTGCGATAATGATAATAAATGTTATTGATGAATGTACTGTTGGGTATTTGTGATAGTTTTTAAAATTTATGGGTATAAGTCATGTTTCATGTTTTTTCAAAAAAAAAAAAAGTGAAATATGTTTTGAAAACTGATATCCAAACACATTTTCATCTTCAAACCAAACTTCAACCAAAACAGATTTTTCAAAACAAATTTGAAAATCTACGACCAAACGCTAACCTAGTTATAGCCGTTTTCATACAATTTTTTCCATCTTACAAATGACTGCTTATTATAAACAGTTACTTGCTGTTACATTTAAGCAAGATTGCATAAATATACTATCAATTTATAAAACTAAACCCGAGAAGGAAAATGAAAGAAAGTTTTGGACACGCCAAATAGATCACATGCATTCATGGTTTTCTTAACTAGTATTTGAGTGATTTGATGCCCTTAAATATACATTTTGTAGCCCTTTCTCCTTTTTGTCTTATCATATACAAGTACATGTTTTTTCAGAGTGTTAGTTTCATCAATAATACACAGACAACCTTCATCACCACAATCAAAAAAGATGTTGCCTGCTTCTGGTTCTTCAGTTTTGGTTACAATACATGTCCACCCTTCACTACACTTGCATATAACCTTGTCTTTTGAGGACACTTCTATTATTTTTTGTGAATCTGAAATCTCTTTTATAGATTCACCCCTTCACAAGAAAAATCAAAAGATTAGCAAATCAAATATTCTTTTTCAAAAGTAAATAGTTTTATTTTTCATACCATGACTTATTTGTGAGTCTCATAAGATTGTAAGTCCAAGCACCAAATATGGCCCCTAAAGTTGGCCCTATAATGTAAATCCATAGCCCTTTGTAATGACCTGTAACAATTGCTGGTCCCAAACTCCTTGCAGGGTTCATTGATGCCCCTGTTAGTGGCCTGTGCATCAAGAAAATATATTGTCCTCCAGATAAAGAAATTTCCCTCTCTACCTTTTTGTTATTTTTTTAATCTTTAATAAAACCCGACCACTTTTAGTTGATACAAATAAAAATCACCTTGTTGCGTACCTAAGTCTAGAAGAAGAATTTTTTTTTTTTTTTTTCATTTAGAAACAGACACATCACACCCAGGGGCGAAGCTACGTTCCTCGAAGGGTGGTCAGTTGACCACCCTTCGCCGGAAAATTATACTCTATATAAAGTAAAATATTATTTGTTATTGATTAAAAATAGACTTTGAACACCCTTACATAACCCACTGGCAAATGTTTAAACACCCTTGTTGAATTTTCTGGTTTCACCACTGATCACACTCCTTGGGGTGCGGCCCTTCCCAGGATCTTGCATAATCGTGGGATGCTTTGTGCACTGGGCTACCCTTTTTTTTTTTTTTTTTTTTTTTTTAGAAAACAGACATATATTTGGGACAAATAAAGCACAACAAATGGGAACATGAACTTGAAATGAGAAGTGAAACTAGTACCCGGAGAACAATATATCAAGTGAAACAGTGGCTCCAATTGCAACCCCAGATAAATGTTTCATCTGCATCAAACCCAAATAGTAAGATCTACTAGATTACATTACACTCTGCAATCAACATTTTCAGTAAAATAAAATGTGTTATTGATTAAATATACTGATAGCGTAAAAATACTTTAAAGTATCAGTGAATATAAAGCACGTCAGTGAAATAGGAGTACTAACAGCTCGATCATCAGTAGCAACACCAGAGATGACAAACATGAGGTAGAATGTGGCTATGAACTCAAGTACCAAAGCTTGCATATTTGTTCCTGCTGGAACTGTCCCTACAAACTGGTCTTCTTTGCCATTAAATATTAGTCGAAGGCTTCCACTAGCTAGAGTGGATCCTATGACTTGAACCAAAATATAGGCCGGAACCTGCACAGTTAATCCAGTAATTAACAATAACAATTAAAAAAAAAAGCAGTCCGGTTCACAAAGGCCAAAGCATCCCGCGCTCACGCAGGATCCGGGGAACAGCCGCACCCTACGAAGGTGTGGCGTAGACAGCCTACCCTGATGCAAGTATCAGTGGCTAATTACACCGCTCGAACCCATAACTTATAGGTCACACGGACAGAACTTGGCCGTTGCTCCAGGGTTCCCCTTCCTTTGATATGATTTCATAAATTTAAGAATATAAAGGAGAGTTGTGAATAACATTAATTCCGTAGTTTACCTGATTCCAAGGAAATCTTTTGCAAGAGGCAAAAGCAATGGTTACAGCAGGGTTGAAATGTGCACCAGAGACATGACCAACAGAGTAAATCAAAACCATAACAACAAGTCCCCAAACAGATGCAATTCCAGGTAGTGTGACAACGTTGTCCTTGTTTATATTCAACACTATAGCAGCACAACCAGCAAATATCAACATGTAGGTTCCCACAAGCTCTGCAATCAACTGTAATTATATTGATGACACATTAAACCTTTTTTAGCTGAGGAAAATCACAAGATTTACAATCATAAATTTGAGGACTAGTGCGTGTTGAAGATTTGAGATGGTCCAAAATTTTCAACATCGTGTTGGAGCATACAGAGGTCTTGGTTTCGCGGCTCACTGCGAACCATTATCAAAGAACTTTCACGTATTTGGTTCATGAAAAAGAGTAAAGCCTACATGTAAAAGAGTGTGTTAAAAATATAATTAAGTAAATAAGAGTTTATCCTTTGTCGGAACTTATTGGAGATGGTTGCACAATTTAAAAGACCTTAGTTATATATCTACATTAACCCAGTTTTGTTAAAAAAGAAAGGAATATGGATTAATGAGTTGTCATGAGACTAAGATATTGCTATGCTTTTCTTTTTAGAGCTTCATAAGGTAAAAGTAAGGTCTGCCAACGTATTACTATCCCTAGGCCCCACTTATATATTTTTTTGTTGTTGTTATACTACAATAAATGACTATCAGCTACTTAAGTTTATAGCTAGAGATTTGCACAAAAAAGAAAGATAACAAAGGTACAAATTGTATCGATGTTGCTCAAGTTGGGATATCACCAATATTCCTTAATCCATCTGGAATAACTCCATTTAGAGCCAGCAACTTTGCAAAAATCAAACATGACCATTTTATTGCAATCTATTATAACTTGCCTGAAATATTTGATCACATATTTGACACTACATACAATCAAGAGACTTAAAACTCGAGATTAAATTACCGCATTCAATCAAGATTTCAAGCATATGTAATTTCTCAAGGAATTTGGAAAGAATATGAAGAAATTAAACTACCTTTTGCACGAAATGCACACTTATAAAGCATTTTGAATGTTTTTGTGGAGTCGTAGCAGTAGTGTTGGATTCTGCTGGGGATGGATAGCTATTAATCCTCAACGACGTAGCTCGTATTCCATCAACAACTGATAATTCCTCCATACTTCTGCTTTGATTATTTGCTCCAACAAACACAGACAATAAAAATGGCAGAACAAGAAATAAGCTATTAACTTTTTCAGATACTTGTATATATATAATAGAAGTGGACATAACTTATTTTTACTTTTATTTTTTTATGCGGATGTATTGTGGGGTGGGAGTGGAGGGATTGATTATAGGCATAACGTATTTTTCAGAATTTGTTATAATTAAATATGATGGATTACGCACGTCTTAACGCAAATGCTGAGCAGCAAAGGAACTTATTTTGAAGTCTTCTGATGTCTTGTTCAAATAAACTATTCATGTCAACCTCCTAATGGTGATGCTAATAACTGGCTGTATATAATCTAAAAAATAACTTTGTTTTATATATACCGACAATATAAAATTATTTTTATTCTGTCAAAGTTACTAAGACCAGTTTGTAACTTTTGATAGCAACCTGCAAATTAAAGATGAAAAGTGACATTTTACAATGGATAAATATTGTATGGGCCAAAAATATCTTTGATATAGGCGAGCCACGTCAACACCATGATATCCTTCGTCGGCTGCTACGTGCTATCAGTAAGGTGTCCACAAAGATCTGCCCTAGGTCGAACTAGCCTCGAAGCGATGAAGGATGCGGTTGAAGAGTCAGCAAAAATCAAGGTCGTGAAGTCACCATAGTTCAAAGTCGAGGTCGAGCATCTCAGACAAAGTTATAACGGCTAGTTTTAATATAGGACACAAAGAAGAATATATTCTAGTAAATATTCTCTGCACCTGTACTATTAGGGTTTTTAGTAACATGTTCCCTATAAATAGAAAAAAGACACAATGATAGGTGACATGAGATATTTATTTGTAAAAAACACATTGACTTTATAAAGAGAATCTGGTCTTATTACAAGCATACAAAAATAACCTTTTTGCTATAATTCTTGTCTAGCATTCCCACTGGATCCAAGAACAATCTAAATGTTGAAAGGCTTATCAATCATTCATCATTGTCAGAGAGAATATCCACATATCTCACATCTTTTCGGGTGACTCACACATTTCTATTTACTTAAATGTCATTTATTGCTACTTGTTATTATTTAATGCCATATCCTATCTTTTTGGATTATTGAACACTGTCATTATTGCTTACATTTATTGTCATCCGGACAAACATACAAGTTATTTATCATAAAACTATTAGCTTTGTCCTTAGGATATTATTATTAGCCAAGATTGACTCTTCTTTATTTAAATTTAACTAGTTGAACCAAGATCTATATTTTTGATCAAATAGTTTGACGCCGCCTGTGGGGACTTCTTAGTTAATTTTTTAGTTTCCTTTGGATCTGCAGCTAACGTGAGTCACTAACCTTACAAACCTCGAGATCTTTCTCTTTCTTTGCACGTACAAAAACCTACATGGCAGGTAACCAAGGAGAGAGGACTAAAGTAACATGTGATTTCCCTAGCAACCTCATGAATGCTATCAACGAGAGCTGTGAGACATTAGGCGAGGACGTGATGCCCACTGCCTCCCCCAGGCGCGAGAGGTCTCCTCCCCCTCCCCATTGTAGCATAACAAAACCAAATGGAAAAGGGGCCTCCACGTCCACAGAAGAAGGGATGCCACTGACCGCAAAAAAGCTCATCGAAACATGGTTGACCGATACGCTAGTGAGCGTACTCAATAAGCCCATTGCATGCACGACTACAAAGACTGCAAGAACCTACACAGTGCAATGAGCAGACGAACAGGGTGACCAAACCCTCCAACACCAGGTATAACTCACAATGTTACTAACAATACAGGTGACATCGCCCTCCCGCTATTCTAAAGAGGATAGAAGAAATGGAGAGTGAAAATAAAGCACTCAGAGATCAAACAAATGACACAAAGAATGAGTCGACAAGATACCGGACGCCCCTAAGCTATTGCTAAAGAGGGACGCCGACAGGTTCGTAGAGCAGTCGTACAATGAAGAAAAAGCCCCGCATCCTATACCAAAGACCTTCAAAATGCCATCGTATCTCAGGATATACGACAGAACGACTGATCCCGAAGATCATGTGACTCATTATGTCACCGCCAAGAAAGGCAACGACCTCACCAAGGAACAAGTTTCTTCTATTTTGCTGAAAAGATTTGGCGAAACTCTTACGGAGGGGTATTAACATGGTACTCACATCTACCAGCCCTCTCCATATAAACCTTCGAGAAAATGGCCGATAAGTTCGTAATGGTGCATGCCGAAGCCAGGAAAGCCGAAACAAGAGTAAATGACATATTCGCCATCAAGAAGTCTTTAGGAGAGGGACTGAGGGACTTCCTCATCCGATTCAATAGGGTAAGGATGAACCTACCAAACGTGTCCGAAGGGATGACGGTCGCGTCTTCTCAGAACGGGTTGATTAGAGATGGTCGAGAGCGACTAGAAAATTGCTGAGTCGATTGATGAAATATCTTCCAACTACTTGGGACGAGATCCATAATGCTAATTGTGCTAAAGTCCGAGTAGATGAGGACGACCTCAATGGACCAAATCATTGGCTCATCTCGGTACAAGCCGAGTCCAGGAAAGAACTGTCACGACCCAAAATCCATAAAGGTCATGATGGCGCCGGACACCGCTGTCAGGCAAGCCAAAAATAAATACTTAATAAATTCTCATTTTAATATTTTTGAAATCATAGTTGTTCCCTCAATTAAATAGCAGAAGATGGAGTTTACAAATTATGTAATAATATCTTTAAAAAAATTCTAATACAGTGCAACCCATAATCATCGCAAATCCCGATGTCACAAGTGCATGAGCATTTACTAAGAATGTAAAATAAAATACAACAGCAGTCCGTAATACAAATTGGACAGGAAAAATGTAAGTACTCTGAAGGAGACTCTGTTGGCTGCGGAGCGTCGTGTAGAATGCAGCTCACCTAAGTCCCCGCCATAATCGCGCCTCTGCGTCTACAAGGTCGCTAAACATATGTGTACCTGCACAAAAATGTGCAGCAAGTATAGTATGAGTATCTAAATCAACACGTACCCAGTAAGTATCCCGCTTAACCCCGAAGAAGCAGTGACGAGGGGTCGATTCAGACACTTACTATGGTCTATAATTAATATACCGATGATATGATAAATTATGGATTTTATGAGGCAACGGTAAACACAATAACATGAGGCTGATAAATAATTCTCTTGTTAATAGGGGATTTCCAAATTTATTCTCGTCTTTCAACAATTTATATCTCCGGCAATGAGGCCATATCAATTATCAATAATTTCAAAACAATCAATTAAGTCATGCGCAAATCATGCCGAGGTCGTACGACCCGATCCAATAAATATTTAAACTGTGTACTGCCAGAAGGTCGAATGGCGCGAACCATAGATGCATCTATTTACTACCGAGGCGCTCAGCCCATTCCACAAAAGATAACACATTCAAACAATCAATCAAGAATTCATCAATGGGCAATTATCCAAGAAAAAAGGCAAATTACACTTTTAAAAGTCAAGAAAGCGATGTCTAGCCTCTTAGAAATTAATTCGCAAAGTTCGATATGAGTTAAGCATTTTAAATTGACAACCAGATTGCAAATATTACAAGTAAAGCATGCTTTTGGGTCCTAGACTATCCGGACTTAAGCATAATAGTAGCTACGCACGGACTCTCATCACCTCGTGCATACGTAGCCCCCCAAAAATAGAAACACATATCGATTTAATTCACCTATGGGATTAATTCCCTCTTACAAGGTTAGAAAGGAGACTTACCTCGCTCCGAAGTTCCATAATCGACTCCAAAGCCGCTCCAACAACTCAAACTAAAGTCCGTTGCTCCAAAACTAGTCAAATATGATGCAACCGAATCAAAATATACTCTAATACTCATAATTAATCATTTTATAATAATTTTCAACTCCGTTCGAAAAGTTGATAAAATCACCCTCGGGCCCACGTGCCCGGATTCTGAAAATGTTCAAAGTTAAACTTTGCCCATGATATCACAGACTCAAACATATAATTTATTCTCAATTCTATGTCCACAATTCGTGGTCAAAATCCAAATATACAAGATTCTATGTTTTTCCATCAAAGCCCCAATTTCTACTAATTCCCATGTCCAAATCCATATAGACTCATGTATTTAACTCAAAATTATGAAGAAAGCACTTACCCCATTATGATCGATGAAGATGGCACTTCAATATGCTCCAAAATCGGCTCCCATGGGTGAAAATAAAATGAGATAGAGCCAAACCCTCGTTTTAAAGAAGACATTGCCCAGCCCCAACTTCCGCACATGCGGTGCCTTGGCCGCATCTGCGATCCTGCACCTGCGAAAATTCCATCGCAGGTGCGGCTCCAGCTCAGCCCATCATTTTTCGCACCTGCGCTCCATGCGGCGCATCTGCGCGTCCGCTCCTGCATTGCTCCCTTCGCACCTGCGCCTTTGCAGGTTTGCAAATCTTTTCGCTCCTGCGCTTCTCAGCAGCCTGCCCCCTTCCGCTTCTACAAGCCATTTTCCCGCACCCGTGGGCTCGCACCTGCGGCCATCTTCACGCGGGTGCGGTTACACTAGATGCTCAGAAGCTTCAGCCCTTCTTCAACTTCCAAATTCGATCCGTTAACCACCCGAAATCCACCCGGCCCCCTCGGGACCTTAACCAATTATACCAACACGTCCCAAAACACATTACTAACTTAATCGAGCCTTCAAATCACATCAAACAATGTCGAATTCATGAATCGCACCCCATTCCAAGCTTAATAAACTTTAGAATTTCAAACTTCTAAAATCGATGCCGAAACCTATCAAATCACGTCCGATTGTTCTCAAATTTTGCACACAAGTCATAATTGACATTACGGACCTACTCGAACTTGCGGAATCGGATTCCGACCCCGATATCAAAAAGTCAACTTCCGATCAAACTTCTCAAAAACTTTCAAATTTCTAACTTTAGCCAAATGACTCCAAAATGACCTACGGACCTCCGAATCCACTTGCGGACGCGCTCCCAATTCCAGAATCACCATACAGAGCTATTCCCAGACTCGGAATCCCAAACGGACATTGATAACATTGAAATTCACTTCAACC